TCTATCTGTTCAAAAGAACCTATAATTGCTCTATTTCAAACAAATTGTCTGAATTTCGAACTTCCACAGCAATACACATAAAAGTTTACGTTATTTTGTTTTATTAACGTGTTTCTAATGAAGTAATTTTGGTAGCAATAAAAATCTTATTACAGTTTCTGATGAAAATCGCCAGTGCGCCCTGAGCAAGATTGGTGATTAATGCTCACACCGTCTCTGTGTAACAAGAGGCCTTTGTTCAGCAGCGAGCTTGTAAGCTGATGATGTGAAGAGGATCAGAAGACAAGGCTAGAGGAGTTGGTAACGTGGTTTTGTGAGTAGTAACAAAAATCTATAAACTTTTAATATAATATATTCAAAATTTATTATGGCACATAATATATCCTCTTTCTTATCTTATTTTAGTTTAGTACAAATAGTCAATAACAGATTCTAATAGCATACGTGTGTGTGGGACTGTATTTATTTGTATAAGGGACTATTTTCGGATTGAATTATACTTCTATTAAAAACTTATTTTCTTTGAAAATAGAAAAACTTTAGTACTTATGAAAAAGAAACCAATTTTCTCTGAAACGCTACAAAATAATCACTTTCGTACTAAATCGTAAAAAGCAATTTTTATTTACGTAAACATACAGCTACGAAATTATTCATGTTCTAAAATTAAAATTATTTACAAAGTTGCCAATACCTTTGGGGCAAATGGCGAGATGACCACAGACTATAAAAACACAATAAAACCTCATATCAAGTATTTAAGGCTGAAAATTCCTGTCTTTTATTATCTAGTTTATGTGTATTCCTGGCGGATTATAAAGGTAACTTCCTGTGTTAACTGAATATTCTGGTTTGAAGTGATAGGAATTTTATGGGGTTACAAAAATACAAATTCTGACAAAAAAGTGTGATCTGCTCGAAATATTTTAAATTAAAAACGCGCTAAATTCTTTTTATGAATTGACCAAAAAAACATAGTTTTAAATGTAATAAACTCTCAAATTGATAGTAGAACAAAAATATGTATTGATGATCTTGCTTCATCATCAGATCAGCCACAACATAGCTGCTGCACGTATGTTCCAGTAGCTTCCAGAAAGATCACTTCGAAGCAACTGATTCCAATCTTAATCTAATATAGACTAAATAAACAGCGTTTCTTAAATTTACAAATATTGTAAGGTGCAAAATTTTATTCCAATCTACACAATTATTTATAAACATGCCTAAGGTGTTAGATGATAGATACTGAGGAGTCTGTATACATCTCGCACGTTTATGTTAGCGGTCGACGGCCAAGTTTTTTACTATCGTATTTACCCATTACTAAATATATACGCGCATAAAATATGGGTGAAAGATGGTTTGGCCTTGAATTCACAAGTAATGTAGACCATTTATTTTGTCTTAGTAAAGGTATTTGATAAAGAATATTTAGGTGACCTAGATTTGGTTTACTATTTTGAACTAGGATGAATCTTTGCTGTTACGAAGTTTTTAGGACAAGTTTTGATATATTTTTCGATACGGCAAGTTTTAAACGCAGCAATAAGTACTAAAAATCATCAGTCCTTATATAAAACCGGCGTGAAACCACGACAGCGTTGTATTTCACTGTGTAAGTGAGGTTACTGGAGGCCCAATCGCTCCCCAATCCCAAAATCTCCAAATCCCTCATCTCCAAAAGGTCGAACTCTTTCGTTGCGGGTGTCCATGGTCGGCGCAAAAAAAATGTTGTTTGACGTTCAAAAGTGCCTGTAAGGGTCTAATTGGAATAAATGATTTTTACTTTTGACTTTTTTGACTTTTGGCGCCGATTGCTTACCATAAGGTAATCCAAATGCTCATTTGCCGAACTATCACATAAAAAAACTGCAATAAATGCATCAAATTTCCACAAAGTTTTACTAGGAAATCATTTAAATAGTTCTCGAACTACGAACTTCCATTTTCCGATTTCAAGAAACATTTATATGTCTTCAAGCACTTGCAGCGAAATAGGAAAGCAGGAAGCGTTGTGAGAGACGTTTTATTACATCAAAGAGACTCGACAATGCGGTATTTAACTAGCCCTCAAGCCATACCACAATAAAATATCGCGTTCACAAGTACCAGGAGCACAAAGCTTATTGCAAGTTAATATAAAACGATTTCGATTTTATTTTCTACATTGATGTAGGTAGTGGACAATTTGGAAACTTCGATTTTATGAAGTTCAATTCGACTTTCAGTTTTTGCCAGTAAAAATGCCACACTCAGAATGATGCTTTACTTAATCATGAACTCTGGTGTAGGAAAATCTTAATTTTTATTACTTATGTTATGTCTCAGTAAATTGCAAACTTGCTAATGTGCAATGTGTCGCTGTATCGATTTTCGCATAAAACTATTCTTTGGATGACTAACAAATTGTTGCTCCTAATCTGAATGTGTGAACTCCCCGCGACACAGCAAGAAACTAAATATTTAGAAAAAAATATGCCACTCCCAAAAACATAGAATATAAGCTGATAGGATAAGACTTCAAAAGTAGATCTTTTTTAATCTTTTCATTTAAACAAACATCGCCTTTATCAACCATATTCTCCAAACTGGGGATTGAATAAAACCTTACACGTGCCCAATAGTCAATATTAAATTCGGTCACTTTGCGCGATATTCTAATTTTACAATTCCACACAAACCTAAAATTCCGATGCAATCACACACAATAAAACAGAACAAACGGTTTGGGGTTCTATGCAAATCATAATAGAGCATGAAATTGCCGTGAACTGTGACTTATGTAAGCATTTACATTTAGTTTCCTTTACCGAGTCAGCGGAACAGTCCCCTACATAAATCTTGGAAAAGACACACCCTGTATTTATGAGAGAGAAATAAAAAAGGATTTTGTTCTTTTTTTAAATTCTGTCCATAAAGTAGGGCATTGTTCAATGTTTATTTTTTTTCCAAAACGTAGTAAATTAGGGTTGATTTGTTTTTAATATCGCTCTTTATCATTATGTATTTCAAACATACCTATTGTTTCGAAATTATTTTGGTGGTTCGATCATAATGAGAGAATGAATGAAATCAGGATTACAAAAGGGATTTGGAAAATTGATATTAGTGATAAGCTTAGGAATATTACCAGGCGTGGGGGATTTTTCAATGGGTTCGGATTAATATGACTAACTAGATTTACTTATATAGATAGTAGTCGATGCTGAGCAGTAGTGTCTATGAATTATTATCTAAGTGTACCTAATAGAGAAGATATATTTTGGAGGTTCAAGTCCTTTTCCAGACGGTATTTTAGAAGTTACTTTTAAGTCTTCCACCTTTTTTTTACAAAAGGTTAATTCCACTTAAATTGCTGTTTAAATTTCAACCAATTTTAAATGATTGCTCGATACATAAGTAATTTAAGTGTGGGAGAGCCATGCTTCGGCACGAATGGGTCGGCTCCACCGGAGTGATACCACGGCCTCACAGAAGACCGGCGTGAAACAACCACAGCGTTGTGTTTCGCCGTGTGAATGAGGTTACCGGAGGCCCAATCCTTCCCCGCCCCTAATCCCTCCTCAATCCCTAAATCTCCAAATCCCTAATCCCTAAAAGGTCGTCAACGCACTCGTAACTCCTCCGTTGCGGGTGTCCATGGGCGGCGCTGATTGCTTACCATATCAGGTAATCCGTATGCTCGTTTGCCGACCAATTACATAAAAAAAATCAAATAAAACAAAACAAAACTTAACATGAAAAGGCTTCTGTTAAAGATACCTATTCTTTTTTCAAAAACGTTACAAATTATAGACGACCACAAAAATAATTAAAAGGCAGAACGATGTTGAGATCTTTTCTATTCTAAATTTGAATATTATTTAAAACGGTTCAGAATTGAGGGAAAATATTGGTTTTGGCGGCAAAGAGCCGATATTTAGTGTCGGCCATTTTGTAGTCTGGATGGCGTTTCAATCTTTGTCTTGAATATTTGCGATTCCATTTATCTTTGTAATGGTCAGTCCATGACTATAGCCGATATCGGTGGTTCACCAAATTTTAGAAGTAAATTGAAAAACATTCATTGTGTTTGAGACTTTTTGGTCAATGTTTATTTTAATAAATATGTTAACTTGTTAAAGGTAAAATCTAGCAAAAAACATTAAAACTTAATCACATAGGTACGGTACCTTATTGTATTACCAGAACGTTCATAGATAGATATAGATATAAGCAATTTTTTCAAATACTTTATTTTTTATTTTTGATCAACAATTTGCATTCCAAATCTCTAGAAACATATTTTTTTCAATTACATAACTGTTATTGTAACATCATTATTCCATATACACTTTTATTGATCGCCATGTAACTAACAGGAACTATGTACAAAACAAGTCAGAATACAATTTTGCACACTCTAATTTTCATAACCTTTAGCAAATTGCAATTTCCTTAAAACACGCTCGGCTCCTGTTTTACCCAGAATATGTTCCTACAAAGTTCTATTCATATTTCAGCGTTGTTTTTTTATTTCTATTAATTTTAGAAAATTTATTTTTTAGAATTTTTGAACTATACTTTTACTCAACGAAAGAGATTTAAGTCCCATTTATAACGTTCCTTTATCTAAGCTGTAGTTACTATTACATATATTTATAGACATTTTTATATCAAGCAAATCTGAACCTTGAGCAGCTGTGATCTCTATACAATTCAAAACCTGTATAATTTACAGGTTAATCCAAATGACTTTTTAAATATAAACACCAACCAACATCAACATGTCCGCACTTACTCTAAAATCTATCAAACACTTCACTTAATAAAACACTTCAACTTGAAAACTTCCACGTTCCAGTACACAGATACAATCAAATGTCTAACACAATTTTTAATATTTTCTAACACTTTTCATACAAATCATTGTACAAACAGCGACCCAAGCTATACTAAACCCTATCACGAAACAATAAAGTTTTGAGTTAGTTGCAGCACATACCTAAAACAGTTTTCCACGTTTACTAGTTTTCAACACACACTTAAACATATGTAGTCTGTAATTCCGTGTGTGAGTTCGCCCTCTGCGTGGGCGCACATCGATTTCGGATCATTTGTCCGAACGTTGTTCTGAACTGCCTGGACATGGAGCAATATAGGACGAAGTTTATAGCTCCATTGAGGAGTGCCAGGGCGTCCATCAGCTCACCAAAGAGATCGTAGCACTGCTTGAAGAAGCACCTTCCCAGGACTCCACTGAGTAAACCTGTGAAGAAAAAATAAAAAAGAATGTTAATATTTTACTGTTTACACACTTTTTGGTAGTTGATAGTAAATGTATATATATTTTTCTGGGACAAGCCCGCCGCAACCTCCCGAATCCGCTGTTACTCCTGTAAACCAGGATCTACAGTAGATACAACCATAAAAACACCGGCACGCTGAAGTCCGGTGCGTCCCAGGGAAGTGGAGTGAATTACTGTCTTGTATCCCGCAACGAAATAAATCAGAAGACATTATTTGAGGAAAAGAAAAAAAGTAAACGTATATGCCAAAAACAGATCTAATGTATCGCAAGGCCCTACCTACAGCCAAAACAGCCTAAGCCAGTTTTATAGACTGAGGAACGTAAACCCTGATGTCTTGGTATGGCTCCATAAACTTAACGCACTATGGTGATCTATTCCATGAAGACACGATTCGCCATCTTTGTCGATTTATCTTAAGGAATGTTTTAAACCTGTATGTTTAGGGATTCGGTTTGGATTTAGATCGGATGTAATGTGGGATCTCTCTAATAGTAGTTAAAATAATGTATAAAAATATTCAAAATCTAAACAATATTTGTTACACTATAATTATAAGCTTACGGTGCTAAATTTACTACTAAACACAACTATCACATTTATTATCACTAGAAGATACTAAACATTACTTTGAGGGTTCATGTTTCAAAATAAAATTGTTAGCTCGTGTTTTTCCTGTTACAAAACTGCACTCATTTATTAGGATAACAAGAAAAATGAAAATGTAAACAAAGATATTGGTTTACAAAATCCGGAGCCAATGTAATTAAAAATAGGTACTACTGCGTACTACATAGTCGGTGTTTATAAAAACACACGCTTACTCTATTTCTGTGGTCGGTTAAATTTATTGCTGACTGTTTTGTCTGATTTTCATAACATAAAATGAAGCTTGTTGTTTCTTTGAAGGATTTCTATACTTAACCAGTTTGACTAGTCTCATTTGTGATGCAGATTTTGGACAAAATGTGACAACACAAAAATGATAGGAAAAGAATAATACTTTTTTATGGGATAGGAATGCATGCAGGCGTTAAACAGTCGTTGCCACAGAAAGTTTAGAAATTGCAAGTGCGTTGCACCCTTTTTGGAGTAAGAAATTTGAGAAAGTTCGTGTAATGAGGGTATGAAGTATTGGAGATGGAGAAGGTCTCCAATAACCTCACTCACATGGGGCAAATGTTATTTCACGCCAGTTTTCTATGAGCCATGAGGGGTCCCTCCGATCGTGCCGGCCCATTCGGGCCGAGGCATAGCTCTTCCATACTCCGCAATACTTTGGTCAACCCAACGTCACCAGCCAAGAATTCTTGGACATTAGTTTCACAATCGAATAGTAGAGAGATTAGACAGTCGAACAGAGCAAAATTTAATAAGAATGTCACAGTATTGTCGAAGCCAATGTCAATCGCGTTCATTGATTTTTCTTTTCAAGAATGCGAATAGTTTTAAAACGCAATTTGTCTGAAGGAGCAGTACCTCTACAACTAACAATAAATAAAAAAAAGCAAATGAACTCACGAACAAAACCGAATCCTTTAATCTAATTCAAAGTTTATTAGAAGCGATGAAAACCAAGATAAATGATTAGCAATTCGTCAAAACTTCGCCGGTTAATAAATCTATTTATAAAGTTCTCCGTGATACTGAAAGGGCGGTTTGATTAATAACAGACTCATAAAACCTTCCATCTTGTATGCTTAACATCATAGAGAATGGATTTATTAACTCCTCGTATAAATTATATTTACTAAATAAATGTAAAATTCACTGTACCTAATAAATTGAGCTCAAATTCAACTGGAAAATAATTATAGTTGAGGTTATTGAATTGATGTTGAAATTGCAACTCATAGTTGAAGTAAGTAGAATACAAAATACATTTTTTATTGCGATGAATGTCAATACAGAGGTAAGTTGTTACAATTTATCGAAATCAAATGTTGGTATAGTGCATGGGTTTGTATCTGATTATTTTTGTGAAATATTTTCTTCTTACGAAAATAAATTGACAGTGCAACTTATCAGCATACATTTTGTTATAAATTATACATCGATGTAAAGATTTCTCACCTACAACGCTGGACCCATTAAAAGCGTCTCTTTTTATTATATGGTATAATTTCGTATGCCGATTAGAAATAATAACCAAAAAGGTATTGGCTGGTCGATTTCACTAATTTTAGATATTTAATTGTTATATTCAGTTTAAAACAAGTTAAACACGGGTTCCAAAACCCAACAAATAAATATCTAAAACGAAACAAAGCTAAACCAAACAGACTTACCTAATATTCCTTGAGGAAACTCCGTCAGCAAGAACAACAGCAACACAGCCACAAGCATCTTCGTAGTCCTGTCAGTCCTTCGTTCAGCTTTAGACCTTTTCGTGGACTTTCTAGTGAAGACATTCCCGTTACCATTGACAACCGCTGTCGCGGGGCAAGCACTGTAACCCTTCAACGCTTTCTTCCTACTATTAGCTCTATACAACGCTCTGATTAGCCAAGCGCTAATCACAGTTAGGATAACGCAAGGTAATAGCTTTATAAGTACTGCGTGCACCCAAAAATTTATTTGGTATAAGCTGCCATTGTAATTTGAATCCACGAAGTATACTTTAGTCAGCATATTCCCGCTTTTGTCGAAAGCAAAGTCTTTGTGTATCGTGAATACCTGTAACAGAAATTGTTTTTGTTAGTGTTTTGTTTTAAAATGTTGTTTACTATCTTTTTTACTATCATTGTGAGCGTTGAATTTACGCTAATTAACCAAAAAAAAAATTAACACAAAAACAGGATACCTATACACTGCATAGAATGTGTGATCAACGGTTAGAATATTGGTTTTATATCAGAATTTTTATTATTTAAAGCACTTTTTGCAACACCAAATATTCTAGAAGGAGCAAAGTTATTGCCAAATCTCAAACTTTTGGACTTTATATAACAATTTTCTTTATAATCATAACATTATTCAGAATAAACATCCATTAAAAAGAGTTTCTTAAAAGCGATATCTTGTTTAAATTTTCTCGCAAACGTTTATCGTCAGATTTCCTTTAATACTTGAATTCGACCTTTATTTTGTGGAAGCATCGATCATGTTTAGCAACAATATAGTTGGAAAACTTTGGTATTGATAAGATAATATCTCGATAACACATTTTTTGCCTGACCGAACTCGAAATTAGCAATCCAACACTATCGTCCAATAACCTGCAACTGACGAGTTAACGGTGCAACTAACAATTTTTAGGAACAATAGTAACGCGCTTATATGTTGTGAAAATACTTTTAAAGCAATTAGGTACTTATTATCAAGTATACATTGTGATTATTATTCCACGAAATCTAAATCTACAGTCGCTTTTTGTCTCTATATCTTCAAAGTCAAAGTCAAAATCATTTATTCCAACTAAACCATGACAAGGTACTTTTGAAACGTCAAAATAGAGAAGTAGTTCCAAATTGTAGATTCGAATGGAGAAGAACGAGCAAGAAACTCCATAATCCATAATCTTCTATGTAAACTTAAATCTTTTTAACTAACTAAACGAATTTTAACTTTGCATTTTGATAGATATAATGATTAAAGAGAAAGGTTTATATAAACATAAATGACGATTAAATAGTGGAGTAATTTAGTATCAGCATTACACCCGCACGAAGCCGAGGCAAGTTGCTAGTACTAAATAAAATGTGAAAATACAATGAATTATTTGATTTGACGGAAACCAAAAAAACCTATTAGTACTTTTTCCGGAGATGCAACCACGCTTAAGTTTATAAATCGCTTTTACAAACCACTACAAGGCAAGATAGTCAAACTAACAACAATAAAACTTATCCAATACAACATGGATGTCTACCAAACTCAGATAATGTAGGAGAAATCAATTAAGGCGAGGCAACCTTGGCTACAATAATGGCATAGTTCCACGCTATTCCACTGACATCAATCGCTCTACAGGAACCAACGAGTGTCGTAAATCATTGTGTAGGAAATAATACTTCAATCAACCGAGATAGAGGTGAGATTTGCTTGGAAGAGTCCTAGACATTATCTGGTGAGGTACACGTTCTAGAATATATTATTATATGAGTGGAATAATAGGGTTGAGAGAAATATAAAAGTGCTTTTATAAGAAAAATGGTGTACCGAAATAACACTCACTTTTGCCCCAAGTCGATATTCAAATGACCCGAAATAAAAGTAAATAAAGTATCCTTTTAAATTATAAACTCTAGAACCAATAGCTGTTTTACTCTAAGACTAAGATAAAAGAGCTTGCTTTGTAGACGCGTTTCAGACGCATAACAAAGTAAGCATAACACACATACTTATATTCAGATTTTAGAATAGATACATACTATGTTGTCGCTAGGCAATTTAAAGTTCGAAATTCGAACGTGTGACTGTGATTTAAACTCAATAGCACAGAAACAAACTTTTTAAGTGTGCGAGAGCCATGTTTCGGCATGAATGGGAGTGGAGTAGGAATGGTCAATCGGACTAATATCACAGAAAACCGGCATCAAACAACGCTTACGGCTTAGTCTTTCGCCGTGAGAGTGAGGTAATCGGATACCCAATACTCTCTACGCCCTTCAACCCACCCCAATCCCTAAAACTTCGAATCCCTAATCCTCCAAAGGCCAGCAAAGCACTCATAACCTGGTGTTGTGGATATCCATGGGCGGCTTGCCGTCAGTTAATAAGCCGGCTAATTTGCCAATTTATTCCATAATCGACTGACAGTCTAAGTATTCGGAGAAGCGCCGAGGCTGATACTGACTTTCGAGGAATGATAGCAATACCTATATCAAAGTCATACATAGAGTTTTTTAGGGTCTTGTGAGGTATTTTACAGATGCGGCCGCGTTAATGTTAACTAAATTTATATGGTGCGTCACGGAATAGCAACAATAGGCACTGTTCAGTGTTGTAATGTACCAAAGAACCTGTATATGAAACTGATTAAAGAAGAATAACCATGGAGTTTCTTGCTCGTTCATCTCCCACGGAATCTACACTATGGACCGAGCCAATAACTTCACTGACTGACCGACAAACTGACGATTTTTATCTTTAAGCTTTGTTTGACGTTCAAAAGTGCCTGTTAGGTCTCGTTTACGTACACGCGGGGCGTTGCGCGGCGGGTATTTCGTTTGTTGTACATTACAGCATCAAGTCGTGTCAACGGCGGTGAAAACACGTGCAAATATGAGCATCACGAGCAATGTATGACGAACCGTACATCGCACCGCACAACGCGCTGTTTAAACGTAATCGAGGCCTAAGGGTGTAATTGAAATAAATGTTATGGCTTTGATTTTGTTCATCCAATTCGACATGCGTTTCCAGTAATTTGTCTAGGTTAGCTAATTATCTGTCAATATTGTTATTTCACGACATCGTAAGATAACATTTCTTCTAAAGTACTAATGTATATTAAACAATCAATATCCTCTTTTCCCTCTAGAACTATTTCGGAACCGTGAACTGACAGGTTTATATCTTTGTATCTACCTATCTATATACATACTTACGTACATACGTAATTCATATACCTACATATATATTGTAAACGTCTAAGTCTTTTCTAGAACGAACATCGAATTTACCACGATCTACTTTTAAAAATGTAGTAGGTACTGACTAAAAGAAATATGTATTAGTGAATGTAAATATGGAGCGTGTAGCTTGTCTGTTGAGACTAAAGAACTCCTATATCTATACTAGTTCAAGGAATAGGTAAAACTTTAATGACGTCTACTCGTGCTCACTGACTGGAATTTAGTTTTATTATGGTGTATCACTACATTGTAGATATAAAACAAAGTCGTTTTCTATATATAGGGATCTATGCTTAAATCTTTAAAGTTACGCATCAGATTTTGATAGGGTTTTTTAATAGATAGAGTGAATGAAGAGGAATGTTTATAATATGTAGGTATATATTGTAAAAAACATTCATTAAATAGTGGGGACATCTAGTATCAGAAATGCATCCGTGTGAAGCCGGAGCGGTTCGCCGATGATTTTGCATGTCGCAAGGCAATATGTACTCGGACCATTACCAAGACTACCCACATATTTGTATTCCTACATTATTGACAAATAAATGATTCTATTTCTACGTTAAATTACGGATTGACTCTCATTTTTTATAATAGCTATACTGAAAGGAAAGTGAGTATATTCCCGATACGAGTTTTCTCGCATGAGAAAGAGAGCCCAAAGGGCCAGGTTAAAATGTAGCCTATGTGTCGTTTCAGACAGTTGTTGAGACACCTGCGGCCCGGACTAAGCGTTTTGCCTCGTCATTTATACCGCGTACATCGAGGGATTGGAACAGTTTGCCGGCTGCAGTCTTTCCGTCCGAATACAATTTAGGTGTCTTCAAGGCTAGAGTGAATAGGCTCTTAATAAACTGGTGCGCCTTACCATCAACGATTGCATCACTGCTTACCATCAGGTGGGATCGCAGTCAAGAACTAGTTTATTGCAAGTAAACAAAAAAAAGACTAGTTGGGTACATTTTAACTGCACAGTGAACGAGGCTGCAAAGCTAGTGTATATGAAAATTTAAGCTTGTTAAAGCACCAACAACAAATGAGAAAATCCTAGTATGGGGCAACGTTTAAAAAATCTATCTTAGTGCCAAATTTCATTCAGACCCATCACTGGTTTATAACATAAAGTGTCATTAAAATTCCAAAAATAAACATTTTTATCCAATTATCATGGCATGTTTACAGTAAAAAAATATCTAGATTAATCCGTAATAATAATATAGGAAAGCATTTAAATATAGTATATTTATGAACGTCGTATGTTACTGACAATTACATATATTCTGTATAAGGGATCAATGTTAATTCATTCATGTGACAAAGGATTGACGGCTTCAAAATAATTTATTATTTCACATTTACCTAGTTCTATCTAAATATAGGTACAAGTCATGTGTGTTTAGTTATGGGCTTCCATTGGTAAACATATCAGAATATATATATATCACTCATTGGATATATTTTGCTTTTTTATATTTTAAGTGTTTTTCTTTTTTTTTGTTTTGTGAAAATATTTAAAAATGTAAAAATGAAGTTTAAAATTAAATATTTTTTTATACTCATTGAATATAAAAATATATCCAATGAGTGATATTGTTTATCTCAAGTTTAATCTGTAATCTTGAGACTGTGAATGTACCAAGATGCTTACAGCATTGAATTAGAGATCGGAAGACAAAAGCAAAGCATTTTTATAACCAAATATTAAGCCAAGTGTTTGGAATTTAAGTATCATTACACGCGATAGTCGATGCCAATCAAATTATTATTTAAATTTAGGTTATATTGGTTTAAATAGCCCAAATGCTTTACAAGGCTCTGCTCTGCTCATGAATAAGAGTCCCGCTGTGACTTTGAGAGCTTTTACCAGTTAATTCACGTGATTTTTGTGATTTAATACTAGTAGAGATTTTATCACTTAATTCACGCAAGTCGTAATCTTCTTCTATATAAAAATGAATCGCAAAATATGTTGGTAAGCGCATAACTCAAAAATGCCTGGACCAATTCTACTGATTCTTTTTTTGTTATAAGTGTTATTGTCAGGAGAAGGTTCTTATGAAAGAAAATTTCAGGAAAGTAGAGGGGGGAGTTTGGTTATAGAGACCCGTGCGAAGCAGGGGCGAGCTGCTAGTCTTCTTATATATAAAAATTAATCGCAAAATATGTTGGTAAGCGCATAACTCAAAAACGCCTGAACCAATTCCTTTTTTGTTGAGTTTGTTTTTTTTTCAGGAGAAGGTTCTTATGAAAGATAATTTTAGATTAGTTGAGGGCGAAATCGGGAAATTGCAACCGATTGAATATCCGCGTGAAGCAGGGGCGAGCGGCTAGTTTTCAATAAATTTAATGTGCATCACGATAGTTAAGTACTATAGAAATACCATACCATATTTTCATATTTAATTTGTATTTTGCCAAAGTATTTCACCACCACGTTTCACCTTACTTTCAGCACATAGGTAAAAAACATATTATTATAAATTATAATATTTGTATTTTCATAGAGATATTTGGGCATAAAATAAATTTAAGCGCGTTTCATTTTTAAACAAACAAAAGAAAGTGAACTAAAACTTATCGAAAATAAGGTTTAAAATTGTGAACACGAGTTCGCGATATGGAACGACCACAAGTTAATTTTATTATTGAAAAATGATTTTAATTATGACTGCAGATCATCAGCTCGTCGAAGTTGAGGTTTAATGGATAAAGGCGTTCCGTTTCACATTTCAATCTGTTTTCATTTCTGTAATATTATTTCTATTTTTTATAATAAAAGTGAGTATTGAATTTGCGATTTTCGCACGCAAAGAGATATGAAAGGCTTATTGATGTAATGAAATTATTAATTCGTTGGCATTAAAGGCATCTGAAATAAAACTTTTTCAATTCATATACGATTTTTTTACACTCATTTTTCATTTCTTTATATATGGAATGGCTTAGGTATACATAATTATGTAGATTAATTTTGATCGGATGTTTTCAAGAGGAAATACAAAACAATTCCCTGTGTCGAACAAAGTAATGAAAAATGGTTCCGTTTGTAACTTATATTTCGGAGGAATATTTTTATTAATTCAAAAGGTATAAGTCAAGAAAAATTTTTTCGCGCGTAGCGTTCAGCGCTCGCTTCAAAGAGCCAATAGACTACCACAACTGGAGCCCAACAGGGCTAATGTTCAGCCGGGTTGCAGGGCAAGTGCAATAAGATACCGGTACCGGCGTAGAGCAGGAGAAGGGGGGTTTAGTCAGTATAGTCTTACGTCAATCTGGGCTAGAAGAGTCATTTGTTAATTTTCCTCTCACAAAAAAAAACCAAATACCCCACCAAAACTGCTATCGTCTCCTGTCTTATATACCATTATCTATACCGTCGCCGTCTGTACCTCAAGTCCAACGCGTCTCAGTAACGCATTAAGTCTTAGATTCGAACGAAACACAGAAAACATTATTTGAAAAAACAAAACAGAATCCCTACATCCCTCAGTGAATTTGGAAATGAAATGCAGGAGTCTGAATGACTTAAAACTTAAAGACACAAAGAAACTGCAAGACAACAACAACAAACTTGTTTGTCACGAACCTCGCGTCAAACTAAAACAGTGTCTAAAACTAGCTTCTACCTGCGAGTTCGTCCTTAGTACCTACCTGAGTAAATAGTAAACATACCTATGGGTAGGCTACCTATAAGTAAGTAGTATAAATAATAGTATTAGTATAAATAGCCTACCAATGGACAGTCTACTTATAAGTAAGTAGTATAAATAGTAGTATTAGTATAAGAAGCCTACCAATGTGTATACTACTACTGGCTTTTTACTTAGGTATTATTCTAGACCACAACCAATCTCTATAGGTAATTACAAATTTGGTTCATCACCATGCAAGTTTAAGATAGCTTTGTTTTATTTAGGGCTGATTTTTAACTTCTCTAACCATTGAATAATCAAGACAAAAAATCAAAGAAGTTGATGTTTATATATAATCGTTTGTTGACGCTAAGAACCTCTTTAAGCCTCTTCTTAAAGTAGTTATCAACAACACAAGTTACTGAAATTGAAAAAAAAAATATTCATATCCATTCAGTAGTTTTAATGTAAAAGGGATAAAACACCCATCCATATACTCATCAATCAATACTTGCAAACTTTCCCCTTTATAATATTATTAGAATGCTACCTTCCCCTCAAGGGCATATGTGATATCATGCTCCCCGAGTAAAAAGTTAAGCGGCCATCTTTCTTTTACGATTATAAAGCGCCAAGAAAACATGTGTACCTACGTCGTCATAAAAACTCAATTTCGCGAGCAAAGTTAATGAACTCTGTTACTCTGTAGTGTTCCCTGTTCTCAGTAAGATGTTTTAACTGCATATGTTTAATGTTTAACTTGTCTAAAGTGTTAGAAAGTTGATTGCAAGATGAAGAAAAAGTAATTAAGTTGAGAGGAATATTACTGCTTAAGAGTTCCGAAACTAACTTCGCTTATGAGATGAGCTTATCTTAATACTTAATTTATTATATGGACTTGTATTAAAAGTAAAATTACTACAAGCCAATTTAGCACAAGCATTTTAAATTCGTTCGTAGTGTCGTGGTGGCCCCGAGGTTAAGCGCCCGCTTCTCATACATGAGGGTGTGGGTTCGAAACCGGACAAGAACCAATGTGACTTTTTCCTAGTTATATGTACTTTCTATGATTGTTTAGACACCACCACCATGCGGTGAAGGTAAACATCGTGAGGAAACCTGGACTTACAATTTCTAATTATAAGTTTGAAATCGCCAACCCGCATTGAGGAAGCGTGGGGATTAATGCTCAAACCTTCTCCATGTGAGAAGAGGCCTTTGCTCAGTAGTGGGCACTTATAGGCTGATGATGATGATGATGATGATTTTCAATTCAATGAAAATTGCAATAAAAATTTGAATAGTTGCTACAATTTTGATGTAGTACGAAAATATGCGTAACATCCAGGACAACCTCGCAGCTAAGGAAACACAACGGCGTAACCACACCGATTTTAAATCGCATAACTTTTCATTGTATAAAAATTAGTCGCGGGAGCGCCCTCTTGAGTTCGGTTTGTTACACTTTTGTTACGGGGTAAACAAAAGCCGTTACCTTGCTTTAGTAAAAAAATAATTCTCCCCTTATAATACTTACAAAATACGAAGGTATGCAGAGTATAGGCGGCAATATGAAGCTGAGCAATATCGCGAGCGTACATCTCCTGTCGGTGCATAGCGACGGACTGTACGTAGGATATCTGGGAACAAAATAATACGTTGTCAAACACTGTCATTAAATCAAGACGAAAATATTTTATTAAATTTAAAGCAGTAGTTTCGGGGATTAGCGCGTTAAACCAAAGAAACAAACATGGAGAAAACTCTTTTTAAAGAAACTTAGGGCCTTCTTTCACCATCTTCAACAGTGTACTAAGGTGACAGAAAGTTCATACAAAGTGACTACTATACTTTTACACTACACGTGAACACATACAGACAAGATACACACTTCGACACAAAACACGCCTAAACCATCATCCCGATTACAAATACACTCATCAAACCCACTAGTCATGTCTATAAAAATTTACAATAAACTACCCGATTTATTAGGAAACGAAAAAAGACACATTTGCAAACAAATTAAAAAAACTTCTTTTAAGCAAATGCTACTATGGCGTCAAAGAAGTCTTTATCTTTTTGTAGGTGTCGTTAGAACCAAGTGAGGAACTAACCAAAAAATAAACCAAATTAGTGTAAAATGAAAAAAGAAATGTGTGGGTGAGCCATGTTTCAGCACACATTTGTAATACAAGCACGATGTTGTGTTCACGCCTTGTACCTGTCTCCTAAGTATAGTCCTCAAATTCTCCTATTCTACAATTTTATGTGGCGGGGCGGGTGGTGTCGAATGCTAATCATCGGGTGATCCATTCGTTTAGCGACCTAATTCCAATAAAAAAAAATATTCCTACCTATTGTGCCCAAAACTTTTCCATTAATGATGTAACTGCTATATAAAACAAAGTCGCTTTCTCTGTCCCTATATCCCTAAGCAAGCTTAAGTCTTTAAATTACGCAACGGATTTTGATGCGGTTTTTTTAATAGATAGAGTGATTGAAAGAAAGTTTTATATGTACAATATCATCCATTAAATTGTGGAGATATTTAGTATCAGCATTGTGCGTAGCCGGGGTAGCTTGTTCAAGAAAACAATGTTCTTGTTTATAAATAGAAAATATTCTTCGTTGAGTTTCTACAAAGTTTTGGGTACTAGAAACTTTTAAAAGATTCAGAAAGGGTTGACAGCGGTTCTCTCGGATACAACTTTAGTTAGCAGTGTAACGTGTATAATGTGTTTGAGAGGTTATTGTTTCAATAACATATTTTTTGTTTTTGACAAAAAAGCGTTTGGTGCGTTTTTTTTAAGTTTAGTATTTACACATTTACATTACAAGAAGACAGAATATCGTCTACTATATCATTCTATCGCCCTAAGTAAGGCCTGTTCTAATTCCTACATGTATTGCACTGTGAGTTTTCATTAATGTATAAAGTGACTATTTTATATTGATGATTCATAATTCAAGATGATTTCGAATCCTACACCATCAACAAACTATACAAATAAGGCAAAATAAAGTAAAATATTGAGCCATTAACAGAAATAATCACGACGATAGCACAATCACAGAGTAGGTACACCCTCAACGTGAAAAACTTTACACGCGTTTTTCCAGTAGCTAAACAATGTAACTTTATTATATTTATTTACATTAATCTCCTAATAAATTACAATTTACTCAAAGCCAGCATTATTTAAAAATGGCAATTAAGAGACCAAACAAGGTTTGTAAATTCAGGTCAGAGGTTATGAACTTGTACTAACAGACCATTTTTAGATTGGCAGTTGGCAGTTGGCATTTTAGGACATTCACAGAGATCACAGTCACAAAATCCTTTATTGACAGCAAAACTATTATATAAACACCTAAAATGTAATTATTGGTGTGATAGTAACTGTATTATATTTATTTAGATTAATCCAAACTATCCAAACTAATATTATAAACGTGAAAGTAAGTAACTGTCTGTCTGTCTTTTCTTCACGTCTAAACTACTTAACCTATTTGTGTGAAATTTGGTACAGACATAGTTTGGAACTCGAGAAAGGACAAAGGATAGTTTTTAAACCAAAGATCTGAAGGAAATAGAAAATATATAAAATGTAATTAATGGAGTGATATACTACTGTTGCCGTCCCATTCATGCGGAAGCATCGCTCTCATACACTTAAGTCTTGTATTGCATGTCCAAATGTTATTTATTATCCGCATAATGTTCATCTCCTCAAATCATCAGGGAGGGAGCTCGTGGAAAAATTGGGGTCAGTATGTCTCATCCTTTGGGAGAACGGAGAACTGTTACTATTCTAATCAATGTATTTTGTAATTTTATATCGAAACTACCTATATAAGTGTTTAACTAGATTTATTGGAAAGGCTGCTGTTAAAACGGAATAATATTATTAAATAATTAATCGACGTTTAGCCGAAAACAATTTTAAAATATACCTACATTTAAATACTCGGTAAATAGGTGTCATTGAGGTATTTATTGGTATTCCAACAAACTTATTTATAGCTTTAGCAATATTATCGTCTTTTTATGCACAGGAAATCTCTTAAATCAAAATACCTAAGTACCAGTTAGTCTTTTTGTCCTAATAATTGTAGCTATAAACGTCATACCAAACGGTGATCGAACATTTTTGTTTTACTTGTAACTGCCAGACATAATAAAAACTTTTAGTAACTATTTTTAGTGACGATTTTGCTCCGAAAACAATAACTATGGAGTGAATTAACATTCGTCTGGTTACAAAGTCGTAGTGGCCTGGAGTTTAACACACACGTCCGCTTCTCGCGCTTGAGGGTGTAGTTCCGAAACCTGTCAAGAACCAATGTGACTTTTCCGTGTTACATTGTGCTTTCTAAGATTATTTAGACACCACATAAGGAGAAAGAAGACATCGCGGGCAAATCTGAACTTATAATGCTCCCCCTTGAGCAAGCGTGGTGATAATTAACGCTCAAACTCCACTCTCAATTCTCCATGTGAGAAAAGGTCTTATTTATTATGTTATAAGTCGGCAAACGAGCAGACAGATTACCGGATGGTAAGCAATCGGCACCGCCCATGGACACCCGCCACACCAAAGGAGTTACAAGTGCATTGCCGGCCTTTTGGGGATTGGTCCTCCGGGAAGGGGCGGGATTGGGCCTCCGTTAACCTCACGCACACGGCGAAACACAACACTGTGGTTGTTTCACGCCGGTATTCTGTGAGGCCGTGGTATAACTCCTGTCGAGCCGACCCATTCGTGCCGAAGCTTGCTCAGCTGTAGGCACTTATAGGCTGATGATCATGATGATAGACTGAATGAATTCATAATAAATTAATGTGCGGCAATGGTACTGACGCAAAACCCATACTGACCTAATTTAAAACGGTCAAGTTCTTATTACTAACATTTCAAACTAAGCAATATTTCCTTAATACCCTGAGCTACAATAAACAAAATGGCGCTTCTGACCTTCTAACTTTAATACAATTCTTAAAGGTGAAGGTATCATTTGTCATTTAGTGCATGTTACTTCATTTCTCTTTGTAAGAGTCTTAGTTGACTTTGTTTTGTTAATACTGTGAAGTGTAGGTATTATTATTATATAAATCTACTAGCCACTCTCGCTGTTCGGCTCTATTTAATCATAGCGTGATGTTTTTTAGCCTATAGCACTCAGGAGCACTGTAGCTATCTATCAGTGAAATAATTTTGGCAAAGATTACCCCCTACATACAAACTTAAAAAAAATCCTCCTTATAATATTAGTATAGATGGAGATTATCCCAGCCAAGGAAATAGGCAGATAATACATCTCTTTTCTTGTAAATAACCTACCTCATATATAAAAATATACAATATATAATTACGCCGGTATTAACGCTTAACTACGCCGAACTAACACCTTGGTAGACTTGACGTTACGGTGACGGAGTCTGCTTGCGACCACGACCTGTGCAACCAAATCGAAACGTCAAGCCTACCAAGGTATTTATATAATTATTTTTCGCGGTTATACCCGCGTAATTATATGTTGTAAATATGAATCGCGAAAGTTTAAAAAATATAGCCAGAGAAAAGCATAAATATAGTGTAACGTTGGCTTACCAGTATACTTTAATGTTTATTTGCATAAATGAAACAGATTCTCAGAATATGAAAAATTCATATCGCACTCGCTGCATTTTGTAGTTTTACATACCTACTTTTAAGGCCCGTCTGCGTTAAGAAGGACCCGCAACGGTTTTTAACCACTTAATATTTTTAATTGTACTAAACAACGGAAGCAGGACCAAATTACTATCGCATTGATTTGTTCTCAGTTTCTGGTTTTATACATGACGCGGTTAATAATCTCCAAAATTCGCATCCGCCTAAGCGTAGCCGGGGCCTTTTGGGACAAGGTTTACGTAGCTAATAATTATGCATCAACACGCACGTATTCTTTCCACCTACCCCATAAAGAAGTGTTCCTACGTTTGTTTAAGAATAGCCCTTAGGTACAACTTAATTTGCCTAAGTTGCGATGCAAGCTCAATTACGTACCGCTACCCGGGTCAGAGAAGGAAAAAAGGACGGGGCGTTTTTAAGTCAGTATGCGTCTAATACTCTCTCTCTCTTTCTCTCTCTCTTTCTCTCTCTCTTTCTCTCTCTTTCGCCCCACCTAGGGTAGGAGAAGACCAAGGACTTTCTCAATCAATAAAAACTTACAACCTAAATTGATAACAAAAAGGTCTAGACCTGCCTAAACAAATCATGTAAATCGAATAAAACAAAAATTAAATGTTTTTCAAGGACCAAAGTTTCTATGTAGTTCATTGAAAGGTGTTTGTTTTCATTAAGCGTTTTGTTTTGGTTGTAAACAATTATTCTAGTAGTCTAGGTTTTCAATTTGTATATTTTATTACAGTATGAAGTTTATTTTTCATTGTTTTATTGTCAAAAGATTGATATAGACATGGCGTGTCATCCGGGGTTGCGGGGCTAGCAAAATAAGGTACCGCGGCCTCTGTCTCAAGCAGGAGAACGAACGAAAAGGTTTCTAGTCAGTCACTGCATGATTTTCCCCTCACAAAAAAAGACATGGCATATCTCATGTGTCCTGTGTACAGCTTTTGATTTTTTATTTAGTGATGAATTTATAATGCCCTTCCCATACGTTACATAAAAAGAAACCAACTTTCTTTAAATTGTGGATCCAGAGCCGATCCATTCTCTTTCTAAAAATGAACACAAGATAAACTTCCGCCTAGGGCTGCGGACGCATGATATGTTGAAAAAAAATACGGGTTGAATTGAGAACCTCCTCCTTTTTTTAAATGGGTTAAAAAGCAGCCTATGTGCTATTCCAGGTTCCACCTATCTAATTACATACCAAATTTCAAACAAATCAGATCAGCCGTTTTTTGCATCAAAGTATAAGACTCCACTCCAAATTAAACGCCAAGACCTCCAGTACACAACCAATACGTATTTAAAAAAAAAAAAAAATACCGCTATCACAATCGGTTCCGTGAGCTCCACCCGAATTCCCGCCATTTTCTCCCCCGTCTTGCTAGCTACTGCTGACTACCATAAATTCAATTTTTCCGCCTATTTTAATTTTTTTTTATTCAATTCAGAGACTTATTTTAATAACAAAAAACTATAAAATATAAAATGAAATACAGGTACAGGTTTGAAATAATCCTAAAACTTACATGAATGACAAACTTAAATCCATTTATCCTCACAAACTGTTGCATTTGTAATATAAGTAGAATTTACAGTAGATAACAGTTTAGGGATCATTCATACCTAAAGGAATTACTAACAGGAGACATGTAATACCTATCTCTAAAATGTCTAAGGCGTGAAAACGTAAGACGTTTTGCAGTGGAGAATTAAATAAGGTTTTACACAAAGATAAATTACAATTAATTCCGAGAACAACTTAAGCAAGAAGTGTAACTAAGTTGCTGGAAATGTTACTTCGGTTAAAATACACTTCATGTAAAAATGTTCATTTATTATGGACAAAACAAATTAAACAATGTTCATACCCTTCTTGGTAGTGTTGTTACCTGAATAAATTAAACTATTAACATTTCTATCTCTTCCTCGCGGTTCCTCACAGAAGTGAGTCTAATTGTGATTTTAATTATACTATAGATTGCAAGGTTGACGCGGTGGCTACCGTGCAACGTATAAAAGGTTCGAATCGAACCTTTGATAAGTGTAGTAAAGAACAATTCTTTTTGTAGTCCACTAATTGTTTCGGTGAGGTGTGTATGTGAAATTATATGTTTATACGTACCCACGATACAGGAGAAAATCCTAATCTTATCTTATAAATAATCTATTACACACATCATGAGCCTATTAGTGCCTACTGCTGAACAAAAAACGTTTGAGCACCAATCACAACGCTTGCGGCAAGGCTTGGAACGGCGGAGAGGTGATTTCCATCTTGTGCATAGAAGATTATAAGTTCAGCTTTCTCGCTATGTTTACGTAGACTGTTTGTTATTTGGTGTAGTAAATACATGTAAAAATTGTTGCAAGTTTCGGACCTCATGCATGAGAAGCGGGCCTGGGAAGTGCCTTAACTATGAACTACTACGGCTTTAACATTTTTTTTTATTGTGGAATGTAAAAATTACTAGTGTTTTCTTAAGTTGTCCCTAAAAAGCGATCTTTAACACACAACCTGGAATTCAATTAAGGAAACCATGCAAGTGAAGCTGGCAGTTTTTTGATATTTATTATAACAGTTTATTGTGTCACTTTAAAGGTATACAGACGGACAGATTAACTTATAATTCAGAGTACGCAAAGGGTTCTACCGCACAATGTGATTTCTTACAGACAACCTCTGTAGAGATTTAGAATATCCAACAACTGGTGAAATGTGGGTGTTAATATTGAAGAGGCGGCTATGCTTATGCCTTTGTGGAATAAAATATGAAGCTCTCAATAAGCTTTCAGATCTCAAAAAGAACTAGTACTGCCCACTGCTGAGCAAAGACCTCTCCTCACACGGAGAAGGTTTGAGCATTATTCATCACGCTTGCTCAAGGTGGATTGGCGATTGCAAACTTATAATTAGAAATTATACGCGTAAGTTCAGGTTTCTTCACAATGTTTTCCTTCGCCGTATGTCAAAGGTTTATAAATAATTACAAAAAGTACATACAACTCGGAAAAAGTCACATTGGTACTTGCAAAGTTTCGAACAGACGCCTTAACCACCGGGCCACCACGACAGTCTCACCAGGAACAATTCAAAGAAACCACTCAAAACTGTACTATTCATACAACACAAACTCCTTTCCATAGAAACAATTCCGTATCGCTAATCGAAATGAATGGAATTGACATTAGCTTCCGAAATATCGCGTGATGAAATTCAAACATCAATTGAAATGGAATCACGACAGAACGATTGTTTGTGTGAACGATCTAATCTTTGGAATTACTGGTTCGATTTGAAAAAAGTATTATTTTTTTCAACTACTAGCGCTAATTTTAGAAAAGGGTGTCGATATAATATTTTGTTTCGTTTCTTTAAAGAGGTACAGTTTTCTATGCTACGTAGGTACATATAATATGAATCAGTGGGTGTAGTATCAGCTCGCCCCCTGGATCTTGCCCCTTCCGAATAAAATGTTCCACTCGCCCCGTTTTTATTAATTTGGAGTTGTGGTTCGCCCCTTACAAAAACCCTTACGGGGCGAGTGAAAAATTTTAACAATTAAATAATTATTTTGATGCATCCACTCGCCCCTTGCGGCATTCCCTTTGAAATTTAACTAAAAAAGGTATATTCAGAAACATGTACAGTAAACAAAACTGGTAAGTAATTTAACCACTTGTGATAGTTTTTATTATAACGTTCGTGAGACATTCTAAATTATTTATTATGTTTTCGGAGCATTCCGCGACACGCGACTCGCCGACCGTCGCGCTGCTACTGTAGCAGCGCGACGGTCGGCTGCTCATGAATATGGGCCTCTAGCATGGCTTGAAACTAGTCGAGTATCTCGTCAAATTATTACGTGAGTAAGCCGAAAACATAATAAACACTTGTGATAGTTTTATTACCTGGCTTACTTACTGTAACAAAAGGGAACTTTTATGGGACCATTATTGAAGTTTTAAGAAAAAATATTCATTTAAATATTTTATAAACTTAGAGTGCTAACAGTTCTTTTAACTAACCAATAATCGGGGGCGAGTTGGAGTATCTAATAATTTAAGGGGCGAGTTGATGCACTGAGGCAATCAGGGGCGAGATCCAAGGGGCGAGCTGATCAGTGAAATGTTTGTGCCATTTTAACTTAAAAAAAGTTTTGTAAGACTACATCAAAGCGTTATTGTATTAAGGTATGGTGTTTATTGTTATTAGGACATGTAAAAAATCTTGACCAATTATAAAGGTTTCAACCTCTTCCATCTTCTCACCGGAGGAGAAAGAACGAGCTTATGGTTCAAACTCACAACGTGGCAACGTTTTTTTTTATAAACATAAGAGTTAAAACCATGTAATTCTCCAGGAGATGTCAAATAATTAAACAAATAAAGTGTAATCAGGCACTTACTTGATAGCAATATATCGCCAGACAGCTAGTGATAACGTGAGCAATATTGACGCAGTATGCAGGATCTGGGTGAAGTGACTGTGGAACAGCATGTATACTGCCCAGGAGTACGGACGCTCTTCTTGATCAGGGAATAACTGAAAAGAAAACACTAATTAGTTGCTGTTTTCCCAACTACCTTTTTTCTAGCACCATTACCATAAGTATTGAGGATTGAAATCTTGACATAAATTATTTGACTTTTGTCTATGAATTTGATTTTAACTTTGACTTTGACTTTGACCTTGACTTTAGCTTTGACTTTGGCGTTGAATGCCATTTTAGGATTCAAATCTGAGTATCACCAAATTTTACATTAAAAATGTACACCAAACCTACTTTTTTACATAGCTAGGTGACTTGTTTTGCTAGGATTAAAGAATTATAGTTTATTTTATACTTCAAAACAATAAACACCAATATTACCTATCAGCTGAAAGTTTACTTTTATAAAATACATCAAAGTTTCTTATAAACATCTCAAGTGACCCCAACTCACCAGGTACCTGTAGATCGCGAAGGGCACGTACTCCAACATTACGAAGACATCAGCCACCGCCAGCCACTTCAGCAGCCTATTGATGGGGGTCACAGCAAGATCTCGTCGCGTCAACACTGCTACGTTCAGTGCATTTGCTAAACTACCGAAGAGACATACCTGTTGGTACATAAATGACTAATTAATAACACAGATAAAAATATACTTGGTACATACTCAAAAGAGTTTTTAATATAAATATACTTTTCAAGTTTTAATGGCATCAATCGACGTCACCCATGGACACTGACAACACAAAAGGGTTACTAATGCATTGCCACCTTTTTGGTTATAATGGATTAGGAATTTGGATATCCTGCAATTGGTCTTACAGTAACCTCTCTCATCGGTATTCAGTGTTGATTCAGGTCAGTATGCTGTGAGACCGTAGTATCTCTTCTTCAGCTCTTCCACACTTGAACCAGTCATGTTACTCATTACTCGTACAAAACATATCTTATGGGTCAAAATTAGGCATAGAATTTGTGTTGAGAGCATCGATCCAATATACTATTGTAGTATACTGTTGTATTTTCTTGGTCGTTGTTTGCTGGGGCCAAACCCACGCGAAAAATTAAAGGCATTGCAGCCACGCCATTATAACTGCTTGAATGATAATTTCTTTGACATGATGTTATCATTTGTATAATATTAATAAAAGTAAGATATTTTAAAAAATCTCTACAAAAGAATCACTCAAATGCAATCAAAAACTCAAAACAAAATGTTTTAAATCAACAAAGGGCTTTCATCCAAATTGTTTTTTTTTTCAATTAAGTTAAGAACTATTTTCTACTTTACAATATACAATAAACATTTGAAATTCTTTATAATAATGTTTAATTATTTACATTTTACTATACACACTTCTATGTTTAAAGTATGTTGGAATTATTCTTATCTAAGCCCGCGTGTCAGAAACTAAGCGCTGTAATTTTGTCTAACGTTACGCTCAAATCTCTTTAAATTATAAAGAGAATAACGAGCTCATTATTTTTATGTCTCTAGTAATTTCTATCGTTCCACAAGAGTAATTCTCGTTAATTTTAAATTGTTATAAATTCATCAAGTTTTTGTAAGAACCAAAGCGTGATCTACGTGTTTGCAAATTGCTCGGTCTTTTAAAATCTCATTTTAGATAATTTCATGGAAGAACGTGTCTAATTAGAAGCGACAAGCACGTTAAAGTACTCCAAAATACCAATTTTCATTATTACATTTTCGTCTTTATAACTTTGTATTAAAGTTGAAAATCTATTAAGGTTTTCAGCAGTTTCAGATAGCGTTATGTGCTTTGCTTTCCAACGTGAGTAGTAAAATGATTACACAGACGCGAACGTACGATTAATTTTTAATTAATTTAAGTAAAATGTGTTACTAACATGCTGTAAGCTGTTTGTAATCTCAGACTTTGCTTTAATCTACTTCCATTAGTTAACCTTTTACACTTAACTTGGCTCTTTGCACTTGTATACTGTCGTCTGTAGTTATTTCTATGTTCGATGTTCACTATTTTTTGACAAATTTGTCTTTTGCTTAGGCTGTAATTACTACTTATCCTGTTATAAACATTCCAACGTAATACGAATAAGTAAGACACATTATTTTACTTACCCGTTATGTTTTAAGTCCTACTCACATTTTGACAAATTGATTTGACTAGTTTCAAGTCATACTAGGGTCTAATTTAGTACAATGTGCATTGTGATTCATTGATGAATAGTCGGCGATGCTCGAATTAAGTCGCCTCACAAGAGTTATATTCTTTTTTTTCAATTTAGCCCTATTTTCTTATCGGTGATACATACTGTATAATATTGTCATTCGAATTATAATCTTAAATCTTATAACTAAAGCACAGTTTACAAAAACTCACCAATAAACTAACGTAACCATGGATGCTATTGTAAGCGAGAATCAAATCTCGAAATTCCCCGGAGCAATATTCCGACTTCTCACATTCCTTTACAACGGAAATGTTGTATCTACTTCGCCAGTCTTCTAGAACTTTTATAACATCGCCAATATTGTTTGTGTGGTTCGGCCCTCGATGTTTCAGTATAGATATGAACCTTGGATCTTCGAAGAAAAAGTTAAAAGAACTATTTGAGCTCCCGTAACTATGCGTGTCATTTTCCGCAAGCATGGTGATTGATAAACCACTCATTCATCCCTTGAATAACACCTGCGGTTACTGTTCCCTCCGTCCACAAAAAAACGTCTTGTAATTCTATTCAATGGCTTTCTCATATCGCGTTCTTCCTAAACCTGTAACAAACAAAAATTAAATGTTTAATTTCCTTCAAAGAAAAAACAACCTTATTATTTATTTTATCAAGTCGTAAATTATATTTTTATCGCTTTACGCCATATGGTTTAAGATGATGATAATAATATTGATATGAGGCAGGAAATCTTTGATCAAATAATAGCCAGACGTAACATAGACTTGGATGCTAAATTTTAAATAAATAAGAGAGAACTTCTTATTAATATTTTGGCATGTGATAACATAACAATTGCGTCAAGGAATACTACAAGTCTATTCCAACTTATAAAACAAAGATCTTATCAGGATTTTTCTTGCAAACTCATTTCAAAACGTGATCTTTGATAGAAGCCTTACACGACAAAAAAATACAAAGCTGGTGGAATATTCTACAAACTACAAAACATTAAAAAAATACTGTTTTAGAAACTGGCTTTAAATCGGTACAGGCCACATAAAATCTAAGAGTTGAGATTAATTTTCAATATACATTGTATGGATTTTCTGTCAGAATTTCAGAAACAGACATCAGTCCAGAGATTTGGAATATCTGTTAACTATTTCAGTTGTAGAACAGTTTGAAGACCCGAGCTATTTTAAAATTTCATTGGCACTATATTGAAGAAAGATATATTTTTCCAATGTTTTGAAACACATTAAAATGAGACAGCGAAGAAGAAAATGAGTATTCTCACGGGGAGGAAAATGCCGTGTTTCAAATAGGTACAAAGTTCACAAGATCTGTACAGTATGTACATACTTAAAACGTGATACATTGTCTTCTATACAACTTAGCGACTCACACACTAAAAAAAATATGGATAACTGGCTGCGGGAACGACTCTAGCACGGAAACACTATTTTTGTATGTGAAATTGTATGTTTGTAAACACACCCACGACACAGAAGAAAATCTTATTGCAGGATTTTTTTTTTTACAAAAAGTAGAACAAAGATTGGCTTATATACATACATGTGAAATAAATAAAACAATCTATACTATTATTATAAAGAGGTATTTGTAAGTTTGTATGTTTGTTAGTTTGTAGTTGTAGGGGGTAATGCTTGAAACCGTTGTCGGATTGCCAAAATTCTTTCAGTGATAGCTAGCTACAATCTTCATAAGTGCTATAGGCTATAAAACATCACGCTATGATCAAATTGAGCTGACCAGCGGGTGAAACCGCGCGAGAGTAGCTAGTAAATAGATGTTTCTAGAAAGACCTATATCGTCGGTTAAGGGCATATCCTTGAACTAGCGTCCATAAACGCTCAATGAAAACTCCCTACAAAAGGCACCTAAGTGAACACAGTACAGGTATTTTGGAAATTATCCTCTAAGGGAATGACATAGGGCTGAAAATTGAATGAAAGCTTTCTCTTGGATAAATTTATTGCCTACATCTGTCTATCTGTGTGTCAATTTATAAATTCAATTACAACTAGATTGAATGTATAGTTCATTTGAAACGTTTGGTTAGGTTTAGAAGTCAGATTTTATTGGTAAAAATCGCCCCTACAGTTACAATTTGTTTCATGATTAGTTGGTAAATTACATTTGGCTGAATCGATCGTCTCCAACTGTGACTTAGATATCATCATCATTATTGTAGCATCTATAAGACCACTGATGAATATAAACCTTCACCAATAACTTCCAAAAAAGACTGTGACAAACAACCTACAATTAACTCACTGGATGAGTAAAACGACTGACGATTTGTGTCAGTAAACACACCTAAAATAAGAGTAAATTAGGTATATAAGGAAATCATTTTGAATGATAACAAGCATCTAAATGGTAGCCTCGTGTAATTTCCTAATAAATTTATCCTCAATCTTAAATAATGATTTAACAACGGCTCTAATAATTAATTTCAGTACGTAAGTAATACGTGTCATAATAGTTCATGCCGTCTGTTTGAATTACAACATAAAAGTTGTGCTTACTAATTAAAATATATGATTATAAAATGTACATAAACGAATTGTCCTGTATGTCAAATCTCACATACACAGACATGCAATAAGGCACCGTGGCCTCGGCCTAGAGCAGGAGAAGAAACACTGGGGCTTTTAGTCAGTAAGAGTCTGACACTGCCTCTCGCCACTGCCCCAACCTAGGCAAGAGAAGTTATTTGATGATGACTACCCCTCACAAAAAACAGACATACATATTTTTCTTTATTCTTGCGGCTTCAATTCGATACATGAAACAAAGGCAAAAACGCAAAAAATTTAAAATTTGATCTGTTCGTTCTTCAAATCTTATAATATATAGGTTTTATTATTTCTGATGTTTTTACTATAACAGCCAAGCCACCAGCAAAAGCTAGCTCTTTATAAATTCAAGTGGCTCGAGTTGCACTTACTTTAAGATTATACGAGGATGAATCTTCTACAATCCTCTTAGCTACATAAATTCAAAATTTACGGAAGCAACTCGATACTTTCGTACATTTTTAAATAGATAAGTACCTTAAACTATATTTCGAAATTTATATTTGACCACTATTTACACTTTATGTTGAAATGTGGGAGAGCTATGCATCGACGCTATAAACCAGAGTTCTAACACGGCCCATCAATGTAAGCGACGTTTTACAACGCTCTCGTTGTTTCCAACCCTCCCGTCCCCAAATTCACCAGTCCTAAACCCTAACATCCAAACCATTTACAATTCCAATTCCTTTGGTATTGCGGATATCCATAGGCTTTATTGAAGACTTACCGTCAAGTGACTCGTCTGCTTGGTTGCCATAAACATTTCTGTATTGAGCTTATTATTAACAACTGTTGATCCGAAAGCAGTCTTGGCCAATAAGGCAGAAAAATTTAATCATTCATAAAATGCTGTTTAACATCAACATAAGCTGTTGGCAACAAAGAAAACGGAAGATACACAATTTACGTACGTCTGCACAACAAAGCCGATGCGATAGTATCAACAATTATAAAAATAGCAGTATAGAGACCATGCAGAAACTATTCACACTGCACATCGTTCTTATCCAGGTATCCTTTTGTGTTCTTGCTTTCCATATATTCAATACACATTTTCTATTTGAATACCTTGTTATTTTGCACAATAATGGAATTTTATCTTAAGAAAATGCACATACAGAAACATTCTGCTTTTTATACAGTACAACGTTATCAGGAAATTCTAATGAATACATCAATAATCTGCATTTTGCTGCTCAGATTGTTATTTTTTTTATTCTGCTTGCATATACCTTTACACGAAGAATAGTGGTTCATCCATAAACTACCATAATGAAGATTTAAAAACATGAAATGATAATATTGGTTAATTCACTTCTGGCGTGCCCTAATTCATCACTAGCGCCATCTAGTCAGCGCTTTGATATCTCAAAACCTTTTAATCTCGTAAACATAATTGAATACAAAAACACAACAAAATATTAATAACGTAATATCGTCAAGTCGTTCACATTCCACTTCATTGAAACATCCAGACTCCATCCACTTGGATTTCAAAGTAAAGGAAAGCAAAAACAATAGAAAAAGGTTAAACCTCAAAGAAAAGAAAATTATATACCACTTCAATTCCACAAAGAGTGGTTACATTTAACAAAATATCAAAGGAACAACGTCAGTTGGTACTTAAAGGTGAAATAACAGAAATTCAATACCAAATGTTTAAGTGATTGCTTTAGAATAGGAAATAAAAAATGACAGAATATTTTTTTTTTATAATGACCGACTTTTACTATATTTTTTTAGTAACTGAGCAACCCATTTTTGACGATACTTGTGTGATTGCAATATCGTCATGTTTTAGTATATTTCTTACTTTGCGGTGACGTAGCTAGCTCCCACTTGTAAATTTTAATGAGTTACATCGAATTAAGTATAGGTTTTTATACGGGTATAACATTCTCGAAAACGTCATCACGCACGAAACGGTTCGCTTCCAATTCTATCATCAGAACTGTTAGTTAAAGCAGTACATTCTTTGCCGGAGACTGTGTTTCCAATTCCCAGAAGGATAGTATAGTAAGCTGTGTTTCTTTAAGGCCCGAGTAAATACCTTGCGTATAGGTAGGCGTGATCCAATGTAGGTAGCATTACGCGCTTCTCAAAAAGGCGAGAAAATGATCAAACACCCATTACAAATAAATAAAAAAATACCAGTCCAATGTATTTATTTTTTCATTATTTATCTGATGGACTACATTGGTTTTTTTCTTATTGTGTCGTCATCTCTTTTATGTTATTCGAGTGGTTGTAAGAAAAATGAGAATTAACCAAAGAGACTACATGTCTGTCCTCCACGGAGATGATGAGGATTTGGTGAATAGAGTTCCATAGTAATATAGGTGTGTAGAATCGAATAAGGAGTCTCCAGTTTTGAATCCCGAGTCGCCGAGGCGTTATCAGAATTTGACAGCTTTTGTATTTAAAGAATGTACAGCACAGATTCTGCTATTTTTACTAGTTACTGCTCAAGTATCACATTTTAATCACACATCTAGAAAACAAAGACTCGTTCACTATGCAATACTTAGCAATTAGGTTATAGTTTAGTCAGTTAAAAATAAATTATTTCAAATTAAATAAAACGTCAAAAATATTCACACTTTCATTAATTAATTAATATGAAATACATAACATTAGATTTTTTTCATAATTCAAAAAAATTAAGAAATTATATATTTAAAAATATGACGTCCAACGTGCTATTTTATTCAAAATTCCTAGAAAACTGAGATTTTTGACATGTCGCACGCACAACACATGTCAACAATACTTTTTCCGAAAGAGTAGTTAACAAAACAAAACCATTACTTAGGATAAAGATAAAGGTTAAAGTAATCATTAAGTGTCTATGAATGTAAACATTATTAGTGCTAGCTTTAAATAGAAGTTTATTACCGTAAAGTTTGTAAACACTGCCTAATTCCTACGCCCGTAAGTCACGAAATTGTAAATCTCTCAACACCTTCGGAGTTTGACCGATGGTACCGTATAATTCTTAATTTATCGTCTGCCCGAGTTTATTACGTCTGCAGTCAGGGCCATCCCTTTTCTAGTTATTCGATTTGAGATTAATATTAGACAAGTAAAGTGAGGTGCTGATAAATTTATCTGTTTGTGAAAATGTCTGACTGCACTGTTGGCGCGGTGGCTGGGCAACAGGCTGCCGCGCAACGTGTCGCGGGTTCGATTCCCGCACAGAACATCTCTCTGTGTAATCTACAGATTGTTGTTCCGGGTCTGGGTGTGATGTGCATGTGAAATTGTATGTTTGTAAACGCACCCACGACACAGGAGAAAATCCTAATGTGGGGCAACGCCTTTTTGTAAAAAAAAAAATGTGTGTAAGCATTCAAATTAAAGTTAGTCACGTCCAAAATACAACTTGTAACTATATTACTAAAGACAGAAGTTAAATTTACTGGACAGTGGTGTATACAATGTCATTTACGTTCCGTTGGCCCACGCTTCGATTTTATCCTTATTCTTTGGTATACATATAAAATTTCCACATACGCCTCACATCCAGACCCAGAGTAATTTGTATGTCACTCTAAGAGTTAAAACGGATATTAGCTAATCAATAAAATGTTATTTTTAGAATATCAGACCCAAAACTTTTAACATGATTAAAATTAAAATTATTGAATGTGGTAAAAGCTATACCTGTATCATTACCAGCCGTCGTATTTGTTCTTGCCGTTCACAAAATTTCACATTGTAAAATAAGTATTTTTTTTTACCGAAAAAACACCAAACTGTTACTTTTATGAATTCAAAACTTTGAATTAATAACTATATTAAATTCAAACAACCGTTACATTTAAATAACAGCCACAGACTAAATCAACACGCGAATTTACAACAACTTAATAGCAAATATACCAAAATACCACTGTCAAATGACTACGTAACTTCAAGAATTAGCACTAGTCACGAATGGGTTTTTTCAATTTTTATCATTTGCCCGATTATTTGAATTAATAATTAGTCCACGCTATATTAGTTCAAGAATTACAAACGTCACCGGTCCTTGTCCGAAGAATGACTGTGAATGGCCCATTTTTAGTTCGAAGTCATAATATTTCTTTTCGACGTCATGTACATTCATCATCACAACATGTTTCATTCAATTTATTAATTACAAAGAAATGTTTCTCCCTGTTTTCGCTTACGTGAAGTCTGTTTTCTATTGTTCTCTGACGTTGGGCCTTTTCCAATTTCAAAACAAGAAAATTTCTTATTTAGTTCTTGCGATTGTTACATCTAATCTCAATAGTATTTACTATACATTCCAATGAAAGTTTAAAAGAGTTTCAAAAGAGTATTGTCTTCCCAAATTGATAAACAAACGTGTCTCGTATAGTATGTGTCAGTACTATCTATTCTGCGTTTCTCACTTCGAGTCTCAAACAATGCAAGCCAGTTTATTGTTAGACAAATTCATCTGGAAAATATTTGAACAATTTTTTTATATAATAGGTCGGCAAACGAGCACACGGATCACCTGATGGTAAGCAATCAGCGCGGCCCCATGGACATCCGCAACGGAGGAGTTACGAGTGCGTTGCCGACCTTTTAGGTATTAGGGATTTGGAGATTTAGGATTGAGGAGGGATTGGGGGAGGGGAAAGATTGGGCCTCCGGTAACCTCACTCACACGGCGAAACACAACGCTGTGGTTGTTTTACGCCGGTTTTCTGTGAGGCCGTGGTATCACTCCGGTCGAGCCGACCCATTCGTGCCGAAGCATGGCTCTCCCACATTTAAAAACAATCCAACAATACCTACTTTAAAGACTAAATGAGTATTTTATTCAGGAACTCAATACACATAAGAGCTAGACAAACAAGTAGCATTTTTCAATCAGTACCACGAAGCGTAGAAAGAATTCGTGCTTCATTCACTCACGATCACGAAGTAATATAGCTCCATTTCCTTCCTTGTTCGTTCTTTCAACTTATACTGTCTCGTCATAACAGCGATTGTTATTAACATCGTTCATAAATATAAAATGGTGACGATCGTAATAAACTCGTATCTACACTGAAGAGGAAAATGATTCAGTTCATAGAAAAAAGGATCATATACGTTGATACGATATTATTGGTTGTTCCTAGTTGTATATACATAAATATATGTATGGTATTGTGTGATAAACTTAATAATGAATGGTGCATCGGTGCCATGCTGATTCCAGTTAAGCAATGAGGTCTTTTAACATCTATATTAATATTATTTATCAATGAAATCCCTATATGTCCTTATGTTTTTTTTACTCGGGACATCGTTGTGGACTTCCTCCGCCAGGAGAAAGCCAGAGGAACATATCGAACTCTACTGGATAAAACGACTGTCGATGGAAAGATGTCTTCTCACACGAGCGTGCGAGGTGTCCAAATCCTTTCACAGCTTGTTATTAAAGAACGGGTTGATTTTAAGTTAGTAAGAATCTGACACTACCTCAACTCAGAGCGAAAGAAGTCATTTATTAATTTTCTAACCATAATAAAAGACTTATGTATGTGTGTTAAGAAGCTCTAGCGAAGTTAACCTGTTTAAGTAATGTTTATTAAAAAAATATGTAGTCACCTAAAAAATTTAATAAACCATAAAATGATATGAAAAATTCTAACCTATAAAATAAACTCTTAAAGCTACCTCAAAAACTAAATAAAATAGCAAAAACAAGATTTCTTATCCCCTGACAGGTTTCAAAAAGAAGACATATTACACCGAGATAAGGGTGTTTCAATAATTTATGAGGTCCTTCATTACAGGGGCCCATGGCGTAAACCCTTGTGACGTCATGCATTGTAACGTCTCATACGGGTTGACACCAAAACATAATTTACCTTATTCGATAAAGTTTACAGAATTATTATGTCGCATACAATTACAAAATTCACTTCGAGAATATAATATATTACGGTTACCTATTTATTAATTCCCCGAATGTGTTTCGAGAATTTTGTTTAAATCATTTGCACGGCTGTGCTAAATTCCTGACCGCATTAAAAGTTGACATAAGTTTATTCTTGGTAAAATGTATTCGTATTTAAGTGTTTCATGTCAGCAAAAACACATTTACTAGTTTCACTGTCGAATAAACTGAAAGATAATTGTACTTTGATACTTTACCAAATTACCTATTTTTTGTGAAGGAAAAATCATGAAATGACTTTCCTCGCCCAGATTAAGGCAGGAGGGAGTGTCAGACGCTTACTGACTAAAAATATCTGCTCCTTCTCCTGTCATAGGCCGAGGCCGTGGTACCATATTGCGCTTGCGCAGAGTTCCGAGAGTACATCGGCTCTAATGGGCCTCATCTGTGGTGGTCTATTTGGTTCTTTAAGGCGCGCGCAGAACGCTAAGCGCTCTCTAGTTCTGGTCTCTGGTTTCATGCTCAAATCGTGAAGCAAAAAACAAAAGGAAAAGGTAAAGTAACAGTAAAGTATCCTTAAATTATTAATGTAATGTGTAGATATGTGAAATTGTAACCGCAACAAAATCTGTCACGTAATTTTAAAGATCTAAGCATACATAGGGACAGACAGCGGGAAGCGTCTCACTTTACACTAAGTAATAAAACATATGATAGAATGTCAACAACAGTAAGTTTATCTTCGCCAACAACAAGTCTACATAGATATACACTTAAGTAAATAAATAAATATGCAAATGTAGATGGACGATATTCTAATGTTTCTAATTGTGGTTGGTCCAGCCGCCGCCTCTCAAGTGTCCAGACACTGAATATTCATCTAGTATTGATCATTTCCATTAAGTTTCTGTTTAATTCGAAATATTCCATTACTTTCAGTATCAGCATAAACAAAGGGGTTTAATCTTAGTAACTTTGCAATTTTTTTCTGTCATAAGTACTTTCTCCTGATTATAAAAGAACTCACGAAAAAAGAAACAGCGAAATTAGCTAAGCCGTTTTCGAGATTTTTGGTTAGCAATACACAAAAACCTCAAATCTCCTTAACTGTTTCACGCTTAACAGCCGATTGTGCATGGTATACATTCAAATTAAGACAATTATGACATAAATCGAATTCTAAAACACAAAACGCGACAAACAGCTGAAATAAAATAAACCAGACACAACTTCTATCATTTGGACACGCGTTATAATCTTTACTGTGTTTTTTAAATTTACTTTCACAAAGAGCGTTAGCGAAGTAAAAATAACACAAATATGTACTTGTAATACATTTAATATCAAACATTTAAGTACATATTTCACTTGTCGAAAAATACAATTTCGTATGAGTGATGAAGGCAAAGAACGTGATATTTTGATAAGGGCAGCTTACCAAAAATATTGCTTCTGTATACAGCCAGCTACTTTGGCATTATAGGTACCTACCTAGCCGAGCAAACACATTCTTCGACATTATTAAAGTTCCTCTACAAACAAAGTTGAGAAATTTTTACTACCTTCTGTTGCTTCATTTACAGTTATATAGCGTTTTTGTTTTGTTTTAAGTATTAGTTAATATTAAAATTGGGCCTTAAAAAGATATTTATGTGATGCGATCACTGGGTCTATGCAATCAGGAAGAGGATGTGTGAAGTCATCCCCCGTGATGTCACCAACTCAGAACTCCACGAGGTTGTCAACAAACAGATCCCGGATTCCATTGCTAAGGATATTGAGAAGGTGTGCCACGGCATCTACCTTCTGACGAATGTCTGCATTAGGAAGGTATGTACTTGCACACTTGTAGTAACTGCTTTAAAAATCTATTAAAAACATAATCTATTTTAAAAATATCATCATTCTTATTACAAATTGCCATCACAATTGACATAAGACAAAATTTAATATAAGAGATACATTCGATAAAATTTAAATGTCAAAATTTTGTCAATTCCATTGATAGGTACATCAATTTTTCAACGCACTCTTTCGATAAGTCAATTCTATTCCATTTGTCTTTTTTTATAATGTTATTTTTAACAGCCGATAGCACTCAGTAACATTGCAGCTATCTATCAGTGAAAGAATTTTGGCAATCCGACCAATGGTTCCAAAGATTACCCCTACATACAAACTTACAAACTTACAAACTTACCTCTTTATAATAATTTGTATAGATTGTAAATGCGAAAGTAACTCTGTCTGTCTGTCTGTATTTTCTAAACTACTTAAACTACTGAACCGATTTATGTGTAGTACAGACATAGTTTGGAACTCGAGAAAAGACAACAACATCAACATACGGACAAAGGAGTCGCGGGCAAAGGCTAGTTGTATTTATAGGTACGAATAATGTTACACATGTTTATATAAATAAGTCTAAGTTTATCTTTTTATAAAGAAATAGTACTTATGAAGATTAAAAAGCAACACAAAATGAACAATACCTTTCATACATTAGTTAGGAAGTTATATACTAGGAGCTATTACGCGCCATTGTATATCACTTGCTCAGTTTACGCTGTACCTACACCTACAGCGAATGTTGACGTTTCACGTCCGTTGCTCCATTACTAACGACAACGTCTACCTATTGTGTACGAAGACGGCAATGAATGTAATCCTAAACTGGTACACGTGACTTGGGTAGCGTGTTGGCCTGGTTTTATAGTCTGGTAACATTTTTTATTATAAATTACAATAATTGGCCCCACTAGGATTTTCTCCTGTGTCGTGGGTACAATTACAAACACAGAAATTGACGTACACAACCACACATACCCTGACACAAAGCAATCCGTGCGGGAATTAAATCTGCGACATGTTGGACGGTAGTTAGTTGACCAGCCACTGCACCAATCCGTGCGTCCACATAATAATTGAAACAATAATTCGTAATAAAAAAATTACAATTATTATATTTGACGGAGCGTCCATTATTTAAATTGAATTTTGAAGGAGGTTTTATCACAATTCATCGGACGAGGGTACAATGAATCGTACTCTGGCGGAACGTCAAACTGACAGTTCTGCGTGAGCATTATGGTTAATGGTGGAGAGCGAGCGCTGTGACTGTCATCTGAGACGGATCGCCGACGTCCATTATTTTTGTAATTTATTCGGCCTGATTATAAAATCCTACGCCCTGCGATGGACTGTGAAGACGATGATCGGGATGTTGATGTTTGTACCAACCCACCGGTTTGTGCCTTCATAATTATTTGGGGTTGTCCAGTTTTGAAATACTTATCTATACTTAATTTACGCTAATATTATAAAGCAGCAGTGTGTGTTGAGTTTGTTTGTTTGAACGCGCTAATCTCTGAAACTACTGGACAATTCTTTTTGTGGTTAATAGACCATTTATTGAAGAAGGCTTTAGGCTATAAAACATCACGCTACGATCTGTATCTGGTGAAACCAAAAAACCAAACATCTGGTGTGAGGGTAAAAATATACACGTTAGAAGTATTAAATCAAAATTTTAAGTGTGTGCGTGTTCGTAAACATACGTCCCAGCTCCTATTTTTGGTCGAGCCTTTTTCAACATTTTACCAGACATAAATAAATTTGTCCGATCAAGCAAAAAACGTACTTGACGTTGACGTCTGACGGTCGTGTTTTCGACTCTCTAGGACCACCAGACACAAATATTTATAAGTATAAAAAAATATTAAATAAAAAATTTAAAAAGAGGTTTAATATGACGTCAACTAAAATAGGTAAATTCTGTTTACGTTTTTCTTTTTAGCACTCAAATATTTGAACAAATTTAAACAGAAACTTCTTTACAGAATCAAATGACCTCCATAAAATTTGTTTGGAAGATCTTACCATGATACTGATTGAAGGTAAACGCACTATTAATAGTGCTATTCCAGATTTCGAAGTACACATTTATAAGTGCTTAAATTCATCATGAGATTTTTTATTTATAACCTAACTGGGTCTAGTATTTATTGCTACAAAACAATGAGCATTTGTTTTTAAACATTATGTAGGTATATTTTTTTATAAAGATACAGATACCGTTATTTCTAATTTATTCACTATTACATAAAGGGCAACTTTGTGCTGCAGTTTTGACCTACACTCTTGTTTACTGAGACGCGACACATCGCACGTCTGTGTCGCGCGTCTGTGTCCGTCATACATTGCTCATAATATACGTATTTACCTAGGCAATGAGGCTGCTTGCCGGGCAGTGTACGACGAACGCACGACGCACGTGCTACGAACCTATTCTGTCACAAATAATAAAAATAATCAAATACGAGTATCGATTATTTATCATTCTGTTTATATAGCATAGCCTTGACAATGTGTCTTAAAATAAAAATAAAAGAAGACTACTCAAGTTTCTAAAGTGTTTTCTCTTATTAATTTTGATTGTATTTCAAACCTTAATATGATGTATGAGAAATGACTGATGAAGTATACGATGTTGAAGAACTGATTCTTACTTTGTGACCGTAATCTGTAGACAAGAAAAGTTTCATTTTAATCGGATAAGCTCTTACACGTGAATCCCGGACGAACAAAGTTCTTCTTATTAAATTTATTTGCTGTAATAAACTTTAATAAAACAGGGAAATTGTTGACTGTAGATACGTACCTCTTGCTATAGCTACATATACTTACACCAAAACACTAACATAAAAATTTTCAATTTTAGAACAAGTTCCACATGATATTTTTTCTTTTATTTTTTATTTTGTACAAGTAGACAAGCATTTGAGCATTTATTTTGCTATGCCATTTAAAAGTATTTTTCACTTTTTATTTTTATTTTTTTATCCTCCATATTTGGCTTAAGTCAAATTGGTGGCTGTTGCTAAGTATCTTTATGAGTATCGATGGTTTCATGTCTCACAATACTTTTTTTTTTATTTTCAATTAAATAATAAATGTCTCAGTCAAATAAAAAGGCATTCAAATTTGGTATCCGGTTTAATTAATCGGTACATTTTCAGTCAACGTGTCAATGGTTATTGACACGTTGACTGAAAATGTTAATAAGTTATAATATGTTTTTTTTAATAAAGACAACTTACGTTATTATTAAAAACTACATTCAAAGACAGATAAAGAGATAGATGACACCCAATTTTATATAAAAATACGTATTGATTTCATCCAGTAAATCAAATTTAAATCTATTTGAAATAGGTACCAATAGCAAAATTGCTCGCTTTTTGTTCGTATCAAAAAGATTAGATTTCGAAAACCAATCCAAAATGTATTCTGTTACCGAATTAATCAATTTCAAAAATAAGTTCTTCAACTCCACGAAGAATTCGGCAAATCTCTTTCCAGCCAGTGATTTTGTTTTGGAAAATCCAATGAACAAAACAAAAAGGTTTTATGTCAATAATTATAATAAATTATCGTCATTGAAAAGGTAGTCAATCATAAAAACCGTTTTATTCAAATTCAGAATTTGAATTGTGACAATCTTATGCTATCGTGAGACACAGTTCTATCGGTGTGTATCTGTTTCGATGAACAATATTAGCTGTCAAAATCTGCTGTTACATAATATTTAAACTAAATTTCATATTAATTTAAAATCAAAAAACAAATATTAATTCCAAATATTATCATAATAATTCAATTCACCTCAATAAATAATAATTTATAAAAAAATATTCTGCTTTTTAATATTTTTTATCTTCATCGTGAAGAAGACAGTGGCCACTTCGCTTACACGATTATACGTAGAACTACAGCTATGTACTGGAAACGAACGTACACAAATGACGCGTTATGAATATTCAGGGACGGATGTGTGAATCGTAAACTCCTGCCGCATGAGAACGGAAACGGTACTACAACGTGCCAAAAGCAATAGTGATTACAGGCATGCTGAATACCAGAGCTATTATCCAATGGAAGTACTACTACCTACAATAAAAGTTAAGAATTAGTGAACTGTGAGGGATCTTTGATTCAAACCATACTGAAGAGATGAATGATATTGATATTTCTGCACACAAAGATAAGAGTCAATTTGAAGAACCAACAGCTTTCCCGATAAATTCATTGATGGATTTCTGTGATATTTGACTAAGAAATAATTTATTTTATATTTAGTATAGACAAAGTAACTTTACAGGATGGTGGAGATTTGTTTATTTTCTTCTTTTTAATGTTGTAGAGCGGCAAATGAGCAGTCGGATTACCTGATGGTAACACCATAGAAGTTACAACTACTTTGCCAGCATTTTGGGGATTAGACTTAGCGACTCCCATCGCTCCCCATTCCCCAACCCAGAAATCTTGGGAAGGCAAGGATTGGGCCTACGGTAACCTCACACACACGATGCAACACAACGCTGTGGTTGTTTCACGCCGGTTTTCTGTGAGACCGTGGTATCACTCCGGATCGGTTTCCACAAAATCATACAAAATTGCTTCAACTGACCACTAGTTTCCCAAAGAAACTGTCTATTAATTGAAATCGTTGGGAATAGTCAGACTTTTTAGAGTTAATATTTGCAAATCAAATGCAATTATACTGAAGCACGGCACGCACGAGTAGGCACATCCATTCAGCTAACACATCTATTTATTTTGTTTCAATGAATACTAGATAAACTAACCAAGTGATTACATAATTAAAACAGATTCCACTAATTAGCCTTGCGGCGTATGTACTGTTTTCTCGTTTGCATATGGTGTGTAGGAAATATATATAAGAACGGACCTATGTTTTAAATTCCAGTAATGATAACTTGTACCTATATTTCGTAGGTAGAAGTTGGCAGAGCCTTTGTAACTATTAAAAGATTTGTGTAAAAAAAATTACTTGAAGAATTTGGGTGGGAAATAGTGGAAAGTTTCCTGCAATAAACGCCATCGTTTTGGCTAACGAAGCAGGAGATATATTATCTAAGTCTGTCAACCGATATGGCTTACGGATACCGTCGCCTAACTTGCAGTAGGAGTGATAGGGATGTTTTTTTTTTGTAAGTACAAAAGAGTCCGACGCCATCTCACCCCAACTTATTTTATGACGGCAAACGATCGGACCGATTACCTGATGGTAAGCAATGAGCGCCGTTCATTGACAACCGCAACAGTGCAGGAGTTACGAGTGCATTGCCGACAGGGGGAGGTGAAGTATTGGGCCTCCGTTAAACTCTCTCACTCGGCGAAAACATCGCTATGGTTGTTTCACGCCGGTTTTCTGTCAGTACGTGGTATCACTCCAGGCGAGCCGACATTTAATTTTGTGCCGAAGTATGGCTCTCTATGTGGGGAATAATTAACTTTCTACTAAAAACATTTTGCCAACGAAGCAAGCAGTACATAATTATGTAATAAATGTAGTTCTCATTACACTATATTATGAATATACCTATACATACATATTACAAGTACGACACGAAACTTCACTTTTAAACAACATTATTAATGATACTGCAAGTTTCATATCAGTTGGATAAAAATGTTTGTAAAGCACTCGTGTCTCTTCACATATTGGCTATAAATAAATATTTTATGTATTACCTATTAAAGTTGTTTTAATGGACAAAAAATATTTTGGGAGCTCAATTTCATCAATACCTATTTTTTTTATAAAGTTCACAACACAACCGAGGATTTCTAACATTAAAAAGAAAACATTTGATTATACTA